TCTGGACTTACACTGCAAAGCAAGCTAAATGGAGGAGAATTAAAGAGAGGTTGGAGAAGGTTACATGAAGAAGGATGGAGGCGTAAGCGGGGCCTTGATTTAGACAGAGCAGTGGGCAGTGGGGAGGAGAGGGGTTGGGGCAGAGCAGGCAACCAATTCTACAGCGACAGGGTAGACCATCAGGACCAAAGTACACAGAGGGAATGAATCAGGGGGTGCTGTTTGAAACCAGGTTGGGAGGGGGCGAATTATAGCAGACAAAACATTTCCATTTGGGGCCAGATGGTGGCCCAGGAGTGGCACAGCTGGATCCACGTGGGAGGATCCTCATTCAAGTCTGGAGGCCTACCAGTACAGACCCGGTATATGTGTGCACGCCCATTATCGTGACTGGCTGAGGCTGGGGGTAGAGTACAGCGTGGAGACCCAATTGGAGCTAAACATCCATCTCTGTTTCTCTCTCATGGAAGAAATAAATACACTTTCAAAAGAGAAAAGTTGGGACCAGCAGATGGCAGAATGGTTGTGTCACTAGAATCCCACGTAGTTGACTGTGGTTTGAGTCCCAGACCTGAAGACTTAAAATTCATGCCAGGCACGTGTATGTGCATGCCCAAAATCCTGAGAGGAGAATGGAGGAGAAGGGATTGCAGCGTGACCATCTCCCAAGGGCTGATTTCTTACTTTCTGTCTCTCTGTCTCGCTCTGTCTCTCCAGCAAGTGCACACACCCTATAGCAAAAATCTCTCTCTTTTAAAAGCAGAAAAAAGAGAAAAGTTTCCATTTCATGCCACATGCCACCCAGGGCAATCTATTTAATAATTTCCCGAAGAGGAGGCTGACATGCTGATAGAAACAGGCCTTTAGGAAGGATAGTCTGAAAGCCATATCTGGGAGGCAGTGGAGACGTCCAGAACCAAACAAGACTTTGCTGTAATTCAAGGATGAGGAGTGGAAGGGGTAGCACAGGAAAGTAAAAATCAAAACAGAAGAGATAAGCCTGAAGGTCGTGCCAAATGAACTTGGAGGTAGTAGAGGAGAAGAAGGGGAGTCTGGGTAATGAAAGCTGATGTTCAGAATGATGAGTCAGGGGCCCTGTAACATTGTCATTCAGCAAAGAGATTCAATTGCATTTACTAGATTATACTTACGAACTGCTAACTCCAAATGAAGGCTGGAGTTCGTTTTAAGAGCCATAGTAGTCAATTAGTGGCCGTAATCGAATTTGCTTTGATAACTGAGAATTGTATAGGGCCTTGGGACCATTATTCTGAGCATGAATTTCCCTTGTCCAAGCTGCCGGATGTATAAAGAGAAATAGCCTGGTCTCAATGTGCATCAACTCCAGAGTTAACTCCTCAGAGTAGTATCTGTGCATATGTTACGGACACCAGCTTTTTTCTTTCATAATTTGACCTTTATCCCAGAATCTGAGATGCAGAAAAAAACTCCAGTGAGTTAAATCACTTTTTACACGACAACAAATTGAACTTAAAAATAAATTGAGCTGGGCCAGCAGGTGATGTGGCAGTTAAGGTGTTGGACTCCCACTTAGTTGGGCACGGTTTGAATTCCAGATTCAGTGGCTTGAAATTTATGAGTACACGTGTGTGTATGCCCAAAATTGCAAGAGGAGAATGGAGGAGTAAGGATTGTGGTGTGGCCAACTCCCTTGGAGGATGATTTCTCACTTTCTCTCTGTCTCTGCCTGTCTCTCCAAGAGGCTCATGTGCCCTAGAGCAAAAATTTGAGAAAAATAAAAAATAAGCTATGGGAATCAGCATGTGGCATGGAGGTTAAGGTGCTGGATTCCCACATGACCAACTGTAATTCAAGTCTCGGATCCAGAAGCTTGAAAATCATGCCAGGCACGTGTGCATGTATGCCCAAAAATCCCAGAAGGAGAATGGAAGAGAAGGGATTGCAGTGTGGCCATCCTCCCTGGGGGTGATTTCTCACTTTTCCTCTTTCTGTCTCTGTCCAGCAAGCATACCCACCTTATGTCAAAAAACTTACTTTTTTAAAAAAACTGAGCTAACAAGTGAGATTTTTTAAAAGAATCACTTATTTAATTTATTTATCATAATTATTTTTTAAATTTACTATAAGGCACACATGTTCACCAGAGAGAGACACCAAGAGAGAAGGAGAGAGGGAAAGTGAGAAAGCAAGCCCCTAGGTCCATGACTTGAACCGTAGTTGGCCATGTGGGAGTCCAGTTTCTTAACCACCATGCTTCTTGCTGGCCAAAAAAAGTGAGATTTTAACACTTCTTTTTCTTCTTCTTCTTCTTCTTCTTCTTCTTCTTCTTCTTCTTCTTCTTCTTTTTTTTAGGAATTATTTTATTTTAACTTTATTTATTTATTTATTTTAATTGACCAGAGAGGGACAGAGTGAGAGTGGGAGGGAAAGTGAGATAGCAAGCTGTCAGGTCTAGGACTTGAACCACACTCAGCCATGTAGGAGTCCAGTACCCTTAACTACCACGGCACCTGCTAGCCCCTTAACACTTCTTTTTTTTTTTAAGTAATGCAAAGGCATTCCAATATAAAGCTATGCATGCTTACAATGGATAAATTGAAAAATACAAAAAAAAAAGAAGAAAATAAATATCAGCTACAGTATGCCATATTAAATGCTTTTTAAAAATTTGGACCATAGCATATGAAAATTTTCTATCTTGCTTTTTTCCCTTACTTGTATCTATTTATTTATTTATTTATTTTCGTTTTTTGCCATAGGGCATGTGTGTTCACCAGAGAGAGTGAGAGGGAAAGTGATAAGTCACCCCCCCCCCCCGAAATTCCCCCTGGGATTTTGGGCACTCACGTGTATGCACATGGTGTGATTTTCAAGGTGCCAGGTCCAGGACTCGAATCTCAGTCAACCACGTGGCAGTCCAATACCTTAACCACTATGCCACCTGCAGGCCCCCAACTTACTTGTATTTCTTAAATTATTGCTAGAGGGTGCACGTGCTTGCCAGAGAAAGACAGAGAGGCAGAGAAAGGGGAAGAGGGAGAGGGAAAAGTATCCCCCAATGGTGTGTGATCTGCTGCAGTCCCTTCTCCATTTCTTCATCCCATCAGGGTTCGGGGCACTCATGCACGCATGCCTGGCATGTTCTTCAAGCCACGTATGCTACAACTTGAACTACATGGTCGACCATGTGGGATCTGGCTCCCTTAACCACCAGGCCATGTGGGTGGCCCTGTATTTTGATGAGTATTTTCCTCATCATTTAGCCCTTGAAAACATTATTACTTTAAATACTTTAAACAGTTTATTTATTTCCACCATGAGAGAGAAAGAAAGAGAAAGAGAGCGTTTAGAGAGAGACAGGCACGCCCCAGTAGGGTCTCCATGCTTCAGTCCACCGTCACCTCAGGCAGCTGAGATAACAGGCTGTGTTCACACTGTGTACAGGGAGCGACCCTGGGACCTTCGTATGGTTGTGTACTAGCCTGTTGTGTAGATATATTCTTTAGCTATTTCTCTCTTTATGACCATTTAGGTTTCCTGTTTTTAAAAAAGCATAAGTAATACTGCAATCAAAATCTTTCTAGGGCATTTTGATCACGTCTCTGCTATTTCTTTTATATAGCTTTCTGGAAGTGGGATTACAGGCTCTAAGAGTTGTGAACATTTATTTTTAGAGAGAGGTTTTTTTTTGTTTTGCTATAGGGCATGTGCGCTTGCTTGAAAGACAGAGACAGAGAGACAGAAAGCGAGAAATGACCCCCCAGGGGGAATGGCCACGCCGCAATCCCTTCTCTTCCATTCTCCTCTCGGGATCTTGGGCATGCACGCACACGCGCCCGGCGTGAGTTTTAAGCCACCGGGTCTGGGACTCAAACCGTGGTCAACTACATGGGAGTCCAGCGACATAGCCATTATGCCAACTGCTGGTTCCAAGTCGTGAACATTTAGAAAGTTCTTGATAATATTGCTAAAAGAGTTAAGATTTCTCAACTCAGGACCAAGTGGTGGCACAGCAGTAACACAGTGCTCTGTGAAGCTGTGAGGGAAGGCCCTGGCTTCTCGTCCTGAGGACTCCCCATACACCACTGGCGTGTGCGTGCCTGTGATCTTGGGTGGCTCAGGTTGGGGGAAGGCTGTGTGAAGATCCTGTTGGACACCTGACTATCTCTTTCTCTCATGGAATTAATAAGTTAAAACAAAACAAAAAGAGGACCCAAAAAAACCCTTAAAACACAAGTTTTTAACTATACTTTATTTTATTTTTTTAAGGTGTTTTTTTTTTTTTTTTTTTTTTTTTTTTTTTTTTTTTTTTGCATAAGGCATGTGTGCTCACCAGAGACAGAGAGCAGGAAAGTGAGGACTCACCCCCTAGGGGGGATGGCTGTGCGTAATCCCTTCTCCATTCTCCTCTCAGGATTTTGGGCATGCATGTGCGCCTGGTGTGAGTTCGAGCTGCCAGGTCTGGGACTCGAACTGTGGTTATCCAATTGGGAGTGCAGCACCTTAACCACCACACCACCTGCCGGCCCCAAGTTTTTCTTAAGATTGTTATTTGGGGCTGGCAGGTGGCATGGAGGTTATGGTGTTGGATCCTACGTGATGAGTTTCAGGGTTTGAGTCTCAGATCCAACGACATGAACTCGTGCCAGGTACACATGCGTGCATGCCCACAATCCCCAAAGGAGAATGGAGTAGAAGGGACTGAGGCATGGCCATCCCTCCTGGAGGTGATTTCCCACTTTCTCTTTTTCTGTCTCTCTGGCGAGTACGTGCACTCTACAACAACAACAAAAAATCTCTCTCAAAAAAAAAAAAAAAAGAAAGAAAGAAAGAAAGAAAAAACTTGACGAACTGAAACTTTTGTCTGTACTTTGATCAATTCATTCTGCCAATCTGTCAAAGAACCACACCCAGTGTCAGGACCTGTCACCCATTTTTATAATGCCACAGAACCACGTTTTCTCCTATTCGCGGATGTGCCCTTTTCTGACTCTACTTTGGGTTTTCGTATCTTGCAGGTTCAGGTGTGGGACACAGCGGGTCAGGAACGCTTCCGCAAAAGCATGGTCGAGCATTACTACCGCAACGTGCACGCAGTGGTCTTTGTCTATGACGTCACCAAGATGACATCCTTCACCAACCTCAAAATGTGGATCCAAGAATGCAATGGGCATGCCGTGCCCCCACTAGTCCCGAAAGTGCTCGTGGGCAACAAGTGTGACTTGAGGGAACAGATCCAGGTGCCCTCCAACTTAGCCCTGAAATTTGCCGATGCCCACAACATGCTGTTGTTCGAGACATCAGCCAAGGACCCCAAAGAGAGCCAGAACGTGGAGTCGATTTTCATGTGCCTGGCTTGCCGATTGAAGGCCCAGAAATCCCTGCTGTACCGTGATGCTGAGAGGCAGCAGGGGAAGGTGCAGAAACTGGAGTTCCCACAGGAAGCTAACAGTAAAGCTTCCTGTCCTTGTTGAAACCAAATGGTGTACATACAAGATCAATTATCACTGGAGTTTTTTCTTTCCCTTTTTTCCGTGCCTGCATCATGCTGACGACACCTGCTTGTTTCCATACAAATTGGTATCGAAATAAAATTTGTATAGATTATCACATGGTTTCATGTCTTGCCTTTTCTTTTTGGTTATAGGGCATGTGCACTTGCTAGAGGCAAACAGAGAGTGAGAAAGGGAAAGTGAGAAATTATTCCCCCCAAACGGATGGCTACTGCAATCCTTTCTCCATTCTCCTTTCAGGATTTTGAGCATGTATGCACACGTGCCCGACATGTTTCTCAGGGTGCTGGCTCTGGGACCCGAACTGTGCTGTCGGCCACGTGGTTTCCAGCAACCTTAACCTTCATGCCGTTGCTGGCCCCGTCTTACTTTTCTCAGAGGAGACACTGCTGAGTGTGATGAGTAGAAGCAGCAGCTTGCCCTGCTAGCGTGACATACCCATGCCAAGGCACACTTCCAACCTTCTATGCGACCTGAAATTCTCATCATTTGAGTCACTTCTTCAGGACTAATTCATCCTCTTACTCAGTGTCATCAGTGGGTAGAAACATCCGGCGGGGATGGGACACAGGCCAGATAAGTTTTTCCGGAGTGCCAGTGCAGGCGCCAGGGTAGAGACGTCATGAAAGGAGAAGTGGACACACCAGTATTCCCCGGGTTCCCTGGACATACACCTCAGATGCTGAGATAGGTTGCTCTCCCCCTTCCCCAAGGATGGGTCACCCAGTGGGTCCAGTTGCTTTCAGAGTAGTTAGATCCTGCTTCCCCTTTGTTCCTTTTTTTTTTTTTTTTTGGAGGGGTTTTCGCTTTGGGGCAGAGAAAGACAGAGAGACAGAAAGTGAGAAACCACCCCTTGGGGGGGATGGCCACGCCACAATCCTTTCTCCTCCATTCTCTTCTCAGAATCTTGGGCACGCACGCACACGCGCCCGGTGTGAGTTTAAGCCACTGGGTCAAGGACTCGAACCGCGGTCAACTACGTAGGAGTCCAGCGACATAGCCATTACGCTAACTGCTGGTTCCTCCATTTTTTCACCAAGCAATCTCTAGCACCAAAGCATTCCCTCCACCCCCAGCCTTTCCTGGCCAGTGCAAGCCTCAAGCTACAAATCTCTCCATTATGCTCCCAGACCTTTACTGGATGCTATGGAAGAACTGTAACAAGGGGATACATCCTTTATGTTCAAAAATCCTATGACCTAGTTGCAGGAACAATTGAGAACAAACATTAGACAATATCACCCAGTGCGAGGCTGTGCTGCGGGAATTGAGAGCATTGTGTACTCAGCATCAGAGAGGGCTTGCAAAGCGTGGGGCTTACTTTGTGTGTTGAATACAGTGTAACATTCTGACTGGCAAAGGTCAGGGGAGTGGGCCAAGCGGGGAGGCAGGAATCATCTCTGGGTTAGAAAAAGAGGACACTGGGAGTCTGGCCCAGGAGAGCTGAGCAGCCACAGTGGGAGCCGAGGTTGAGAGGGCCTGCATATCGGGCAGGACAGTTTGTACCGGGGGCTTTTGGTGGCTTTCCAGTGCGAGAATCCTGGGGTTCTTTCTTATACATCGGGGCTTACCCATGTGAAAGCTCCTTGGCCAGCTGTCAAAATAACTGAAAGTACTAGTCAAGGCATATCTACAGCAGCCCAGCAGATCCAGCAGATTTCTTCGCGCGTGTGTGCATGTGTGTGTGTGTGTGTTGGTGGGGGGCGGGCGGGGTCCTTTAGGGTGCTCTCTTGTTGGAATCTCTCTCTGAGAGGGCCCTCACAGGACAGCTGGCATAGGCATCTCTGTCCCACACTGCAAACAGTAAACTCACCTGATGTGCTTCCCACCCAAATGAAGAGCCTGTCTGGTCCTGCCCGCTTCGTCCCTGTGGCCTTCTCTTCCCCGTCTCACCGCAAACGTCCTCAGGTTCAGCGCAGCCCCTAGTCTTTGGAACCTGCTTTGTCCCTACGGTTAGAGCCGTTTTTCTTACCAGTTGACCCCACCCAGCACCCTGCCCCTGAATCTCACCCAAAGGGCTGGGATCCTCTTGTCTGTCACAATTCCCATGACCTTGTCTCACATTCCAGACACTGCCTC